CCGCCGCCCCCGCCGCCCCCGCCGCCCCCGCGGGGCCGCACGTGGCGGCCAGGCAGGGCCCAGCGATCCCGGGCAGTGGGCCCTGTCTCCCTCGCACCCCTGTGGCACGGGCCGTGAGTGCAAGAGAGACGGCACTGCCCGGCATCGCTGTGCCGGGGCGTTGAACCAGTTTGGACCGAGCCGGGGGGGCGGTCGGCCGGGGCGGTCGAGGCGGGAGCGCCCGCCGCTCACAGGGTAGGCCACCCATCGGGCGCGGCAGCGCGGCGGGAGGGGTACCCGCGGCGGGGGCGCTGCTAGCGCCGCCAGCGCCGCCAGCGCCGCCAAAGCGCGGATCAAACGGGGTGCGCAGACGCTGCCTCGGGGGCGACAAAGGCGGCGCGGGATCAGCGGGCCTCGAAGCTCGTCGAAGCGCTGATGGGGGGAAGTGGCCGTGCTGCGCTTGGATGGCCGGGGTCCCGGCATCGACGCTAATCCCGCAGACGGACCCACAGCAAGTGAAGTGGAGAACACGGATGTCACAAAGGAATGAAAATGATGCACTTTAAGGACGTAAACGATTTACGCCCCTGGAGCGGCGCAAAGGAAAATCCTTCGTCAACAGGCATTTCTTCGTACGATATCTGTTTGAAAGTAACATTTTTGGACGTGGCCTCGTTCACTTATCAGTTTTCCCCATCACACACGTTTTGTTTCCTCTACCGCTACTCCGTGCACCCGCGCCGCCGGGCGCCTCAGTGCTCGCTCATCCCGCGGCGTCCCGATCTACGTGCACGACGTGCACGACGCACGAAGAAGGCCGAACGTACAAAGCCGAGTGCAGCCTCATTGGGAGATGCTGTCCTGCCGATGCGAGGCGGAGGAAGAGCAGATCACCCTCTCCCTCGGCAGCCTCGGCACGGCGCTTCCGTCACACACACACAACACACACACACACACACACACACACACACACACACACACACACACAAAGAGAGGCGCGCGGCCTGACACGTGCCGGGCGCACGTACATCTCAGCGGTAAATTAACGTGGACCCATATCGATGTTCCTCCCAGATCACCTGAAAAAAAAAAAATCATTCCCGCACAGAACATCCGTTTGAAGGCCGATAGACAGAAACAAGCCTTTCGGATGAGAAAGTACAAGAAAACAGATAAATTTTTTGTAAATTTGGCGGAGAAACTTCGATTTTCCCTCTGTGCCTTTTTCGGAGGCCGGGGTGGTCGTCGACGCAGTTTCGCGTTCAATTGATCGTCGGGCTGCCGTTTCGGGCCTTTGCGAGGCCGGCCCGGGCCCCCGCCACGAGCACTGCGCAGCCGGAAGCGCCGCCACGCCACTTGCGTCCCCAAAGGGGGCTCCGAGGGGGCTCCGAAGGGGGCTGGGGTGCTGGGGACCGCGGCCACCGCGACCCTCACGGCAACGCCTCGTTGGCACGGAGGCGGCTCGGCGACTCCGCCAGCGGTAGGTACAAACAGCGAGCACAAAGCTACGAACTGGCTCTGCCAAAAACCATTACCTGCACCCACACCCACCCCAACCTAGCACGCTGTCAACTTTGTTCCTACCGTCTCCCTCCGCCCCCACCAAGTAATAAAGTGCGCTGTACGGGTAGCCGTCACTGGCATCGTTGAGTAAAGGTCACCTCTCTAAGGAGGTAGCAGTCGGGTAGCAGTGATACTAATATTCATTGCCCCTCAAGTTCAATAGAAAATTTTCTTCGTGCAGTGTAGGATGACACGGGTCAAACACGCACCCTAGCAGAGGAAACACACTACACCGCCTTCCTGTCAGGAAGTCAAGGAAAGTGGTTTATTCTGGGACTTATCTTCAAGTCCGTTCGGTGCGACAGCCGCCCGCGGGGAAACAAGCACGGCACTATTTGACCTGATGGAACGCTTTTATCGTTTCACAATTCAGGTCGTAAAACTCCGTATTATAAGAGAAACGAAAAATTGATCATTGTTGTCTTACCTGAATGGTGGGTGTCCGGTTGCCCACGGCGTCAATCGGTCACCTGCAAAAAAGAGGCAATGGAGACATGTGCAGCAATCATGATACTTCCACTAAAATTGAACTAAAATTAAAATGGAACAAAGAGTCGTAGCAAAGGAGAGAAGTAGTACAAAGACACGTACGTTGGCTGCCTACTTCTCTCCACAAGCTGAGCACACCTGTCAAGGACAGTGCCTCACACTCACCAGCTTCCGTTCCTGGTGTCTCTATCCAGTGTAGTTCTTAGCCACAGGAGCGGCTAAGATCGAATCATTAACATAACTAGGTTCATCGCTGCGCGGGGCCGGGGCAGAAAACACTAGCACACACACACTCACACAAACACACGTCCGCACCCGTCCCCACGCAACGGTCGTCTGATGCACCAAGGCGGCACGCGCTCAGAGGACCCCTTCTTGGTCTCCGCCGTGGCGTCCCCCTCCCGGTGCAAAGCTCAATCCATTTCGGGCAGTTCCGGCGTCGGAGGAACAGCGTCACTCCCCCCCCCCCCCCGCGGGGCCCCGGGGCGAGCACAGTGTCATGATAGGACCCCCATTTGGTATGAAGAGCATTTGTAGGTGTGTACTTGTCCAAGCATGCATGAGTAAGAACGTGCTTGCAAGCACTGGTGAAACAAAGGCATTAAAATTATGCCCTTTAAGGGCGTAAACGATTTACGCCCTGAAAGGGCATAAATCGTTAATGCCTTTGGGAAGGGCATTAAAATTTTGCATGAAATTCCTATACCATTTACGCCCTTCCCAAGGGCATAAAACGATTTATGCCCTTGCAAGGGCGTAAAAGAGTATTTATGCCCCAAAGGGCGTAATTTTTATGCCTTTGTTTTACCAGTGAGGGGACGGCGCTGGCACTCCCCATTGCACCGGAGTGCGTTGGGTTGCCTAGCCCTCCGGCGGCGTGCACCCCTCGGCGCGCGTGGGGGCGCGGTCCAGCAGCCAGCCTGTCGCCATGCCGGACCAGGACATCCCCCTACCCCTGGCCGTGCCAACGCGTGGCGCCGAGCATCCCCATTCACGGAGGCGGTTGTCCGGTATAAAAGCGCGTCTGGGCTTCCGGGCCTCAGTAGCCAGCTAGTAGCCCGCCGCGGCCCAGCTGGCCCCGCCGCCCCGCCGTCGCGGCTTGCCTCGGCTTGCCATGGAGCCCCGCGCCTCCCCGCTGGCCTTGCCGCTCGCCCTCCTCGCCACCCTGGTGCTGCTCGGCGGCGCCCCGGCCGGCGCCGCGCTGGGGCCGCTCATGCCGCTGGGGCCGGACATCTTCGCCGTGCAGCAGCCGGCCGGCGCGCGCGGTGAGCAGCACTGCCCAGGAGCCCGCTGCTTGCTCCACCGCTCAACACGTTCAATGAAACCATTTGTCCACAATCCAAGTGTAGCGCAAGTACACACTTGCAGGCGTTCGCCGCACTGTCCTGACAATCGTGTCCGACTCTTTAAAGTGTCGATCACACCACGTCTTGCACTTTGAAGCCTGCCTTAGCAATGGTTGTCGGTCGTTGAACATTAAACAAGCTGTCTCGTACGGTGTAGAACAGTGGTCGACTCGTGTGGGCGTAGGTCGGGATATGACACGCCGACATTTGCAAGGGACGGACATCATGGCTTACGCCTACAAGTGTGTACTTGCTCCTTACCTGGATTAAAAGTGCACGTTTGTTCGAGACCCCACCGAATTTTATTCACGAAATTCTTCTTAAAATCGCAATGATATCAGCGATTTTGCACAGTGAACACAGCTTTTACGGCGCTCACTGGATACCCGCCACAAATACGACCCAAAAATGGGCCAGAAAGCACCCCTTTTTGGCACGATTTTGAGGTGGATTTTTGAAGGGCGAAGTGAGACGGTAGATTTAGAGTTCCTGAAAACTGTTTACAGTATGTTGTTTGCTGAGTTTGCTGAGAGTGCCCATATTGCAGGGAAAAATAATTAGGAACTCCCAAAGCAATGCTTCGTATAAAAAGTGAATGCATTGTATTTTACAAATGCTCAACGTTCTTCGAAGGTCTTTTGATTCTTAAAGTGTTGACAAGACCACCTGGTGGAGGGGCAGAAAAGTGACGCTGCTCACTTAATTTCCTTGCACAAATTATTTGCGTGATCTCATTAAATTCGCGCTTTCCGTAGTGGAACAAAATTCCGTATGGAATTGTGATGTTCTTGTTACAAATTTGTGCGGTTTTCCGTAAAATTTTGAACGCAAATTTTCTTTAGCACTAAATTTTGTGAGACTACGCACAAAAATTATCCAAATACATTTACTATGTGATTTTTCGTCAAAGCTTTGTTATGTTGATGTAGAGAGTCACTGCAAATCATTGGTAAGTTTTATCCTCTTACTTGCATGGGGCTTCGTTTTTGACGCCAAAACTTAGCCTTCTAGTCACGGATCACCATGCGACAATGTCAAAATTTGGAACTCCGACTTCCTGAGCCGCTTTATTTTGACAATATCAAAAGGTAAACCGCGGTTAGAAGGCCAAATTTTACCATTCAGAATTGAGTGAAAGGAAACACGAATGTATTTGCAGTGCTGCTGGTACTGAAAATATGGACTTTCCAAGCGCAGTTTACGGCATACAGGACAGAAGCTCCATCTCCTTTGAGCCCTGACGGCGGTCCTAAGAAAGCCCCAGGTTGGTCCTGAGGCCGTGACGTTGTTTTATGCCTTATACCATTCATTCACACTAAATGTTTGTGTATACTTTAATTTTCCATAACTATAGACAGTTTCGTACATATGCTAGATGTGTGCAGTTTAATGCATAAATTAGGAACAGTAATTTGTGCTTATATTGTACTAACGAATTTTAAAATTGTGTCCAATTTATGCAGAAATTCGTATGTAACATACTTCACAATTACGTCCAAAATTATGTACAAAAAGTCTAAAAGCATTTAGTGTGCACTGTTGGCTGCAAATTTAGACTTAAGAATGAAATTTTGAGATCAAATGCTGAAAACTTTTATGTGTATGAGTATGTAGTGTGAGTTCATGCCCAAGTGCCTCAAGTGCTACTGTACTTTCCACTCCACACCACGGAAACTAATGAGAGCATTTCTTCCTCTTTTCAAGGTGGCGCACTGGGGACGGGGCCCCGCGACCCCCATGAACAGTTCTTCGGGGACGCGTACCCGCGACTACGCATCCCCGGCGGCATCGCGGTGCGGCAGGGCCAAGGGCAGGGCGACCGCAGTGCCGCGGAGAGGTGGTGGGCCGAGGCGGTGGCAGTCCCAGGTAAGGGAGAGTGGGGTAATTCCGGACGTTTTTTTTTTCTTTTTGGTCTTTGAGCTTGAATATGCTTCTTGGGTCAAATGTTATCACAGGAGAGTAAAGTATGGACCTTTACCTTCAAAATGATATATATGAAAGCCAATTCTCAGCAACGGTTAGGGAGATATAGGCGCCTAACAAAAGCCCTGCTCGTGTCCGGAATTGCCCCAGGCTGGGGTAATTCCGGACGACCTATGGGGCAATTCCGGACGACCTTAAAATTTGACACTACTCGAGCTTACTTTCGCTTGTTTTGATGTGAGGCATGCTTTTAGAAGGCGTACAAGGACATTTGCTGCGAACTGATGTGTTTGATTATTACTCAAAGCATATTATAAGGAATAGTTTCTATCAAAACCCCCAAAACCCCTAAATTGACAACACTGTCTTGAGTAAAGCTCTTAAACATAGCTGCAATGCTATTTTTCGTTCTTTCTTTACCCTTCTGAACGGTGGGGATGCATGTCCACCATTTTGAACCCACTACCTTAACATTATGCGGGAAATTGAAGAAAATAACCCCTCTTGTCCGGATTTACCCCACAGGTAGTGAAAACCTTTGATGTTCAATTGTAAGAAAACGGCGAGCCATACGAGCACTCCCGAAACGCCCAAGTAAAGTCCAATGACCATATAATATGATAAAATTTTAGTCATGGGGCTGAACTTGACGGTAAGGTACGATAAGTACATGGATATACGAGGGAAAGATGCAGCTTTTGCCTATTTTTGATGGTACTCAAATTTCGTGAAGCGACCACAGCCAAACGGTTTGACCTCCTACCTTGGCGATTTGGAATTATCATTTTTCACTGATTATCTTCCTCTGTTAGGCGGGCTTTTGAGTTATCTTCACTCAAACCCAGTGAAAATCGAAGTGTCCGGAATTACCCCGTGTCCGGAATTACCCCACTCTCCCTTACTAACACCCTCGTGCATAGCCTGGTCACGTCGATAGGCGGGAGAGGGACGGTTGGGAGTACTACGCTTGAGGCTGAGCGTCAACACACGGTTAAAACCTTACGAAGTATTTCGAGCACACACAGTACAGGCTAATTTACTAGGTTCCACGAAAAGAAAAATAGTGCGTAAATTGCGAAGCATTTTCTTTGTAAGCTTATTGTACGCTCAAAATACTTTGCCATAACAAACTGCTTTCTTTTGTAAGGCCTAAGTTTTTAAGGTTGTCAGTGCACTGCTTTTAAAAAACGACGTAAAACTACGCGTTCTTGGTGTAGCGCAGCACTGTTAAAAAAAATATGAAAATTCAGACTGATTTCGTCTTACTTGGTGGTCTGAATCGTAAATTCATAAAATGGTACAAATATTAAGACCAACTGTCTGAAAAGTTTGACCTGTTGTCTGAAATTTGAATTTAGACTAGCAAGTCTGGATATTTAGAGCGATGGCTATCAAGTTTTGTACATTGTCGTCCGAAAACTAAATTCATACTTGTGAAATCGGAAAACGAGTGAAAAAAACCGTCCCCTCTGTACATTTTTCGATTTTCTCAGAACTTTTATCAATACTGCTGTTGTATTTCAAATAATATTTACGTTTAGTGTCGTAAAAGCATAGAGAATGTTTCAGAGCTCCGAAATGGACACTTATTGCTCTATCCGCTAGGTGGCGCTAGTGTCGCATGGATGATCTCTTGGAGCTAAAATTGCCACTTGAAGGCGAAATTGCGAATATTTTGTTACAAACTTATTCCAAGTGATTGTCTGAAAGGGCATGAGCGCACCAAAGCAAGATTCAGGTTAATAAGTGCAGTATAAGCTAAATAACAAAGAATGCAATTTCACTCTCGCGCATGGCCACGGGTCGGCGCGTGGTTGGGCTAAGGCCGCTCTCTCTCGCAATTCAGCAGTCACCTATAGCCTCTTCACTACCATTGAAAGTGGGAGTCTACTGCAGTGTAATTTTTGAGCCGAGACGATCCGCTAAGCGTCTACGATAAACCGATGGCAAAAGTTCGCCGATTTGTGTTCTACTCTACAGAGTGGCACTTTTTAGTGCGACTGTTCAACGTCTTCGTACAACTTAGTCTGATGAAATAGACCGAATGGTATCATTTTTCATACAACATGTTGATCTGAAAATTCAGACTAACGTCGTCTGAAACTTTCAGACCGCGAAGTATGAAAGTTTTGGTATGAAAATTCAGACTGAATGTAAGTAAATCGACTTCTTACAAAAAATTATGAATTTTCAGTAAATTTTTTTAACAGTGAGCGGTTCCCAACCTTTTTCGGTTCGCGACCCCAAATTTGATACAAAAAATTTACGCGACCCCCAGGAAAAATTTCGCGACCCCACGCGACCCCTTCTTTAGCATGCTTTGATACAAAGTGCGATAATCCACCTTAGTTTGGGAGCAGTATTACCGCAAAGTTGATCAAAACGGCCACAAATGTCTTTGATAAATCGTGTTTTGGACCGACTTTAAGCAGCCACTGCGTCTGATCCGAGGCGGTATTTCGTCCTCCCTCAATGGGCATTTGGTCTTTAGGCCTTCCTTTAACATGCCTTTGTTACGGAGTGCGATTATCGGCCTTAGTTTGGGAGCAGTATTGTCTCAAAGTTGATGAAAACAGTTAAAAATGCCTTTGAATGCCATTTTGATCCACTTTGAGACAATATTGCTCCCAAACTAAGGCTGATAATCGCACTCCGTAACAAAGGCATGCTAAAAGAAGGTCCAAAGACCAAATGACCGCTGAGGGAGGACGAAATACCGCCTCGGATCAGACGCAGTTGCTGCTTAAAGTCGGCCTAAAACACGAGTTTTTAAAGGCATTTTCGACCGTTTTGAACAATTCTGCCAGCCGGGAAACAGCCGCGACCCCAGGCGACCCCAACCACCTCGCCGTGACCCTTCGAAATTTTTGGGGTCGCGACCCCAAGGTTGGGAACCGCTGGTGTAGCGTGCTCGTGACTTTGCTTCCAGACGCGAACGGCTGCGCCATCCCGGCCCCGCGGCTGCGGCCGTGGCTGGAGCCCAGCAGGCTACCCAGCACCGGCATCGACAGCGTCCGCCAGTTCCAAAGGTTAGAGTTCAGTGTCACGCCCTGCAGGGCAACCCTGAGTCCCGCTGTGAGGCCCCAGGCCCGCCTCCGGGCTTGGCGTGCTTGACGGCAGCCCTGTGTCCGCAGGCCGCGCCGCCAGCCCTCGTCGCATCACCACCACCAGGCGGAGCTGGACTCGGGGTTCCTGCACCTGCCCAAGGCCGCGCTCACCAACTTCCCGGACGGCGACCAGGCGTGCGAGGCGCTCAAGAACGCCAGCCTGCTGCAGCAGGTGCTGCCCGTCGTGGTGGAGCAGCCGTGCCCCGTCAAGCTCAACAGCGTGGTCGACCCGCGCCGCGTCTGGCCCGCCGAGCTGCTGGCCGCCGAGTGCGCCTGCCTCGGCTCCAGCTGCAGGTCCAGGACGGCCTTCGTGTGCACGCAGGTGAGGCCAGTGGGCCAGACGCAGCACGCCGTGCATGGGTCTACGGAGCATGCATAAGGACGAAGAAAATTAAAGCAAAGTTGCACTAATTTTTATGGAGCAATCCACCGTATTACGAGGGATTTTGCTTCGTGTTACGAATCAAAATTTGCAAGGTTTTACGGTGAAAATTTGTTAATCATGACAAAATTGTGGATGATATTTCCATCACTTTGCAATGATGACACACTCATCACAAATTGACGACGATTTCATCGAAGCTTCTATACTTATTGCATGGGCGTGACAACAATGTCATTCATTGTTTTGACGACATCTTTGTAAGGAAAACAAACACTGTGGCAAAAAGCCACGGAATATTCTGTAAACAGCTTGTGGTAATTCTCCGTAGCCCCCTTATCAATATTCTCCGTAGGCTCTTACAGTATTTTCTGTAGGACCGCACATTATTCTCCGTAGGACCTTACAGTGATCTCCGTAGGACTATACAGACTTCCAGGTCCTACGGAGAAGACTGTGCGGACTTACAAAGAATACTGTACGGCCCTACGGAGAATACTGTAAGAGCCTACGGAGAATATTGATAAGAGGGCTACGGAGAATCCTGGCAAAATAACGCTAACGCTAACGTGAAAGCAGATGATACTTATGAGAATGTTTATTGAAATGTATGAATGTGACATTTTGTCAATTTCTTTCAAAGAGTAAAAACTCGGAACTCTTTTTTTGACAAATCTCTTACGCATGGTAATTCATGAAAATGACAATTTTAGTACAACTTTTGAATATCCTAACGTGCCATGTTCGCAATGACGGTGGGACACTCAAATGTCCGATACCACACTGAAAAAAAAGTTTAGTTAGGCCAACCAGAATTTTAGTGCCATTTACCAGAATGTGTAGTAAAATAGGAACCAACTAGAATTCTAGTAACAAATACCACACTGCCTAGTTAGCGTCCGTCTGGTAAAAATTACCAGAATTCTGGTTATCCTCACAATGCCGCCAGCACCCTCGTGTGGTAAAAATAACTAAATTTTTTAGTTAAAATATAGCCTAAATAAAGAAAAAGAGAAAAAAAATGTGAAAATGAAGGTGATGTTCAAGTTCACGTGCAAGCATCACGCAACTTTGAATCGCGATCGCTTTTCGCCTCAGCGCTGCCCGGAGGTAGGTCTACGGCTCCGTCACCTGAGGACTCTGTGCGTCGTCCGGCCGCTCATCTCATGCTATGATCAAGGAGGGATTTTCGGCTCAAAGCGGAACTTTGAAGGTTGCTGGGGACTGTGTGGATGCAGTACGTTACAAACTTATCAAATGTAACTGGATTTTAAGTGTGGTGACAATTACAATACAGTTTAGTAAAATCTACCACAATTTTTAACTAGATGGCTGGTAAATGTTACCACACCCATACTGGTAGATGCAACTAAAAATCTAGTGAAAATGACTAGAATTCTAGTCATATCAACTAATGCTCGTTTAACTAGGATCAGTGTGGTAAATTTAACTACACTTTTTTTTTCAGTGCACTTGTGTTGGGTATCATTTTCGTTGTTTCAACGCGAGGATGCACAATTTGGTGGCTAATCACATAACTACTCAATACCCATAAAAGTTGTGTTCGGTACTAGGGCAAGGCGCCTTTCGAACCCGACCTCAAGATAGATAAGCAAGAGTGGCGCACACTGCCGACTGCCGACGCGCCGCTTCTCGAGAGGGGCAGGGGTTCGGGGGGCGCTGCACTATGCGTTCTACGCACTCAAGGCTCAAGTGCGTGTGTGTGTAGACTGCTGCGGGGTGTGGCGGGGCGCGGCGGGACGTGGCGTCTCGGCAAGGGAATGGGCGAGGGGGGCCGCTACGCGATGCGTGCTAGCAGCGTCCCGTAACGACGCGCAACGCGAGGGACGCACTTCATGAGTATACTAGATAACTGGGTGTCGAGGTTATACGCCGCGCGCGCAACTCGAGCCCCCGCAGCCGCCCCGATTCATGGTGCGGCGGGCGACGGCGCGGCGCGGCGCGGCACGCTGCGGGCCCTCCGCTCATAATCTTCTAGGCAGGCCAGCCAGCCGCTGCCTTGCCAGCGAGGCGCTCGGCCTCTTCTAGGCTTGCTAGTCAGGCAACAAGGCAACTGCTGCCTGGCTAGCCGGAAACTCGGTACTCTCTGCACGAGAGTACAAGCACGCTGATACGTGAACGTATCATCTGCTAAAAATTAACAGAATTTTCCGTACCTTTTTGCCAGAGTGAACCAGCCTTGAAATCGTCATGAAGTGACGACTCAAATTTTCACAGTGCGCGCGCCACCACGAGAGAAGGGTACCACGGGTTGTGGCTCTCCTTTCCAGAACGGCATTTCCGCGGAATAGGGACCCAACCTCACAGCAGTGTGCTGTAAGTCATTCTGTCGGTCTGTCTGCAGCTCGTGGCCCCCGTGGTGGTGGTGACGGTGGACGACGCGGGCCAGTACAACCAGCACCGCCAGCTCGTGCCGTCGGGCTGCCGGTGCATGTCAGCGCGCGCCACCATGCCGATCGATGACGACGTCAAGTAGGCCGGCGGTCCGACCGTCTGTCTGCGCGTCGCGTGTTGTCCAACCTGCCCTCCACAAGACCGAAGAGAGCAGTGCTTGCTGGGTGAACCGGGTAGACCTATTCATTCGTGTACGACAATAATAAATAAATGATGCTGATTACAACTACACCTTATCGTTTGAATTTAAAGCCACCCTCTCCTTTTCGCTCAATTGCACTGTCAGTAAAGGAACAAATTGGACGAAAGCTTAGTGCACAAAGTTTGAGAAGTCCAAAACCACGGGTACATCTAGTGAACAGATTTGGCTGGGGAATGCATGACACGACTGTCCATGAAATGACCAATCGACCATTGACAGTAGACAATGCTTGATGAAACTTCTGCGTTTCAGTCAAGGGTGAAAAGACTGCACCTTTTAAGTGGCAGATATTTTACAAGAGAAATGTTTTCCCCAGCAAATAAACTCTAACCGGATCCCAAAAATAAAAATACGATTTCAAGAAATCCTAGGAGTCACGAAGTCAATTTGATTAAGGGGGCAGTCTCGTCCCTGTACCCCTTTTTAGGGGGGTTTTCCCCCCCTCTTTTGATGACGATGATTTTTTAAATACACCTCTTAGAGACAAACGGTAAAAACCAAATGAAAGAACGGAATTTTTACAACATTTTCAAAAAAAAATATATTGTTTTGTCTTCAGTTGTAAGGGAGTTATATGGAATGCAGCAAAAGCCGACAAAACATACAAAATTTCACTGCGCGACATTTTTCTCCGGAAGTTCTTAACTTTTTGGCGATCGGTTTGCGGCATCTTGAAGATGAAAAAATCCTCTTTACTTTAACCTACAATCGTCCATCTAGCCCAAGGATTACACCTTCTAAAACGTAACCAAAAACCTACACAAACTTAGGAACGGTTTTAATTTAGGTTTTCCTTGGGCTATATGGACGATTGTAGGTTAAAGTAAAGAGGATTTTTTCATCTTCAAGATGCCGCAAACCGATTGCCAAAAAGTTGAGAACTTCCGGAGAAAATTGTCGCGCAGTGAAATTTTGTAAGTTTTGTCGGCTTTTGTTGCATTCCCTATAACTCCCTTACAACTAAAGGCAAAACAAAATATTTTTTTTTGAAAATGTTGTAAAAATTCTGTTCTTTCATTTGGTTTTTACCGTTTGTCTCTAAGAGGTATATTTAAAAAATCATCGTCATCAAAAGAGGGAGGGAAAACCCCCCTAAAAAAGGGTACAGGGACGAGACTGCCCCCTTAAGAGAGTGGAGAAAGAAAAGAAGTGGTGGTGTTGTGAAGTTGTGGCTCAGGGGACTACCAATGGCAGTGGTACCAATGTGGTCGATGTGCCACCCGTCGAAATTTAAACTTGACAATAAATAGAAATCAGAATGCTGGTAAATTCAAAAAATTCCAATGCTAATGTATTCCGCAGTGTTCTGACAATGGAACATCTTTAAAGTCCATCATTATTAAAATGTTCTTAGCAGAAAGAAGGCAGTAAATTAATTTTCAAGGGTTGGCAACAATCTTCTCGGCGTCTACGCCCTTGCGAAAATCGCGAAGCTGAAAGCACCAGCAGTCGGGCATTAAAACTGCCCCTCCATTGTTGCTGACGTTGAATTGTTTGGCTTGTTTCAAAAGGCTATGGTTCTCTAGTCATGTTTTCTTCAATTCTGTGTAATAGTTCTCACTCACAACGAATCAACACCACGACGGTTGGTTTGACAAACTTCATAAACTCGGGAGGGAAGGTTTCGAAACGCGGGTGAGTCTTGTTCGAGGAACATGAGCACTGCAAGTCGCGAGGTGGAGCGAAGTGGTCCTAGTGCTAACTGAATCACAACAACAACAAAATTGTTTTATTGACAGAAAAAAAAGGTAATATTTGGGAAACTTTATGTCAGAAAAAAAGAACTTTTGTTTTGCTAATTTTTTGTGAATATTTTTTTAGAAAGTTATCACATAAAAATTGAAAATTTGTTTTATATGAATTTTCATAAGCAGGAAACAAAGAAAAACAAAAAAGAGAGCAAAATTAATACAGATTTCAAATGCTACAGTTGGTTAAACTGTTAAACAGGTTGCAAACCTACTGCGCATGCCCAAACACACTCCGATCAAGAAGTATTATTGGATAGTTCTACCCGAAAAACTGCGTTCGAACCGACACCAATTCTATTGTTGCATCTTGTCTACCTGCAGTCAAAGAAATTTTTCATTTCGAACGCGCCATTTCAGCTTTTGGAGTAAGCTGTACAGACCCAAAATGAAGCTCGGCTATTGGTCCGCCCCGGCTCGGCTCCCCCCACTCCCTTTGACGAGTCGAGTTTTGCCATGGAAACGGCGATTTTGACAGCAAATTTCTCAAAATTGGCCGTTAACTTTTTAACCAGATTTCAGCATGAGAATCAGCGTTCAAAGTTCTACAAGTCTGCAAAATCTCATTAAAATCGTATAGAAAATTTCCGAAATGCATAAAGGGCCACACAAATTGAATCTCGGGCCGGCTGAATCCTGGGTATACTATAAGGCTACTTCGTGCCTAAAAAGATTGTTCCGCGACTTCATGCAACACTCACCTAGTTAAAAATAGCTTGTCGCTTTAAGACCACGCGACATGCCTACAGATTTGAGATGATTCCGGTGTGGATACGTTTGCTTACGAACAACCAGGGAAATTCAAACAAGGCGGGAATCGCCTTCCTTGCGGGAAACAACAGATCGAAATGCACCTCAAACGGACGGGAAACGAGGACAGCCCACTAGTGGCTCGTGTCGGCAATCGGGCGGCGCTCTAATTGATTCCGTCCACCCTCCGCCTTAAACATTGACGCAGTCACTGCCGCCGCGTCGGCAGTGGGCCGCTCAAAGGCGACCCCGCCACGGGATCAAGGTTGGCGAGCAGGCCTCCGCGGGCCGCCCTAGCCTAGTGGGGGATCTTCAAAGGGCTGTTCCGGCGTCACCACACTGGCGCTGGCGCGCTGGCCGATAGACAGGTGGTCTTGGCCCAGTTGCGGCCGCCTGGACGCCCCGCCCCGGCTTTCACACACGGCTTTGGCAACTGCTTCGAACCGCACCGACGCCACCCCGCTCGCCACCATGGAGGACACAGCGGACCCCGGGGCCGCCTCGGTGCAGCGGGCCAACCAGACGCGCCTGCAGCCCGCCATTCCCGGCATCTACAACCTCACCCAGGAGGACTCCAACTGGATGGTCACGTCGGCCTTCATCATCTTCACCATGCAGACAGGTGCGCACGACACGGCAGGTCATACCCTGGTCCTATGGCGCTGTGGCCCTCCGATTCAATGTTGGATTGGTCTCTTGGAGTAGCGAAAGCTACTATGGTAAATAAAATAAAGGCATAAAAACTACGCACTTAAGGACATGAGACTCTTTCGTGCCTTTTTAAGACGCCCCATGGTCGTTGCAGGTTTCGGTCTTTTGGAGTCCGGCTGTGTCTCCCAGAAAAACGAAATCAACATCATGATGAAGAACCTGGTGGACATCTTCCTGGGTGGCTTCACCTACTGGCTGTTCGGTTTCGCCACATCCTTCGGCCACTCCACGCTGCGCAACCCCTTCATCGGCTGGGGCGACTTCGCGCTCGACTCGGAGGACTCGGACCCCAACATGGGGGCTCTCTTCACGGTGTTCCTGTTCCAGATGTCGTTCGCCACCACGGCCACCACCATCGTGTCTGGCGCCATGGCCGAGCGGTAAAAGAAATGTATACAAATAGACGGGGCTCGCGTGGCGGTGACGCAATCGCCACCCCACGCAACCTCCACGTGAAAGGGACAGCTTCAAAGGCCGATTACCGGCACTGCCGCCCCCTCCCCCCGCCTCCTCCAAGAGGCCCTCGCCTCCCTCACGCCTCGCGCCGCCGCCCCGGCGACTTGTTCCCCAGGTGCAATTTCAAGGCGTACTGCGTCTTCTCCTTCCTCAACACCATCGTCTACTGCATCCCCGCCGGCTGGGTCTGGAGCGAGACGGGCTTCCTCAACGAGATGGGCGTGGTGGACATCGCGGGCTCGGGGCCCGTGCACCTCGTGGGCGGCATGTCAGGTGAGTCCGGCCTGTGAAGGGTAAGTTGGGGCAGAAAAAACAAAGTAAGAAACGATCGTCTCCCTGTGGCCTACTGCCGTGACCTTGACCTTCTTTTCGCGCTCTTTACTTTTCTTCGCAAACTTCTCACGCCTAGGAGAAGCTTTATGTGCAAAGCATTGTACGCGCTATATAAGAAGCTACGCCGTGGCAAGCTCAGCGGCAAGGCCGAGACCTTCCCTTGCTAGTGTGTGTCCACCAATGCTTCGTCCGGCGCAGCACTGGCCTCGGCGATCATGCTGGGCCCCCGTCTGGGCCGCTATGACCTCGGGAACCAGCCGATGCCTTTGGGGACGCCCGTCAACGCCGTCATGGGTCTCTTCGTGCTGTGGTGGGGCTGGCTGGCTTTCAACTCGGGAAGGTGAGCACACCTGCGCGTGCACTCAGCGCCCTCCGACAGCAAAGCCTTCCGACAATAGGATGGCTTTGCTGCCAAGTATGCGATGCGGCTTTGCCTAGGCTTTGCCTGGGACGCTGAAAAGGAACTAGCCAAATGCGAATCTTGTGGAGCCGTCTGAGGCTGGCTGACGAGTCGCTCCTGTCGCAGCACGCTGGGGGTGTCGGGGGCCAAGTGGCACTACTCGGCCAAGGCGGCCGTCATGACCCTGCTGGCCTCCTTCGGGGGAGGCTTCATGGGGCTGGGCTACACACTGGTGCGCAACGCGGGCAACGTGGAAGTCATCGACCTCATCAACGGCGTCCTCGGCGCCCTCGTGTCCGTCACAGGTAAGTCGCCTACGATCATGTGTGGTCTAGCCCTTAATGGCAATGGCTGGGTAGGCAATGTTCCTCACATAGCGCACCGGAGCGCGACGGATTGCCTATCTTAACTTCGCAGGCGGTGGATAGACCGGCATCCTCTTTTGGGCCTGCATTCTGTAAGCCTCCAGCTAGCGGTTTCTCGGAGCTGAATCTTGGATCTTGACTGTTGCCCGCACCAGTCGTTCACAGCGATGAGATGTCCACCCCTTGAAAGTAGTGCCCGTTCCGCAGCGGGATGCTTCCTGTACACCTCGTGGGAGGCGCTGTTGATTGGCTTCATCGGCGCCGGCATCACGTGCTCCACCATGCCGCTGTTCGACTGGCTGCACGTCGACGACCCCGTGGGGGCCACCTCAGTGCACGGTACGGCGTTGCCTCGGAGCCCAATGTGGTTCTGCGGACACTCTCGCAGCAAACATTTGAATTCGCAGTGAGGTGTTGCTTCATCGTCGTTACGTCTCATGAACGGTGTATTAATTCATGTCCTCCACAGGCATGGCGGGAATGTGGGGAGTCCTCTCAGTGGGGCTGTTCGCCTCGGCGCCACCCGACATGCCCGCGACACAGGGCCGCTCCGGTGTCGCACACGGTCAGTACGGCACCATTTTGTACGATACCAGTAGATCCTGGAAACAGCCTAGAAGCCTTAAAAGGGGCAATATGCTGAAAATGGCCGAAAATTGACTTGCACTTGAAGGTGCTATATGCGCAGGTGCTATGCGACGTTGCCACTAACATTCCCTTTTGCCCGCAGGAGGGGGCTTCTACCTGCTGGGAGTTCAGACACTGTCAGTTCTGTGCTTAAGTGGCTGGTCCTTCGCGTCCACCATGGTCCTCCTTTGGGTACGTACTTGAACGGTGCTTCAGGTGCTCATTTAAAATGCTGGAAATGAAGCAGCAGGTAGGCACAACGCCTAACGACATAAAGATGAGTTGAAGTTTGGTGTGCTCAGTGGCAAACCAAGAAGAGAATTCCATACATCCTAGTGCAGAGTCATTCTCCCACACGTGAACTCATGGAACCTGCAGTCTCCACACTTCAAATGTCGGTTGTCTTGATTGTCTAGACTGTAAATTCTGCATTTTTAAGGGCGCAGACTGAAATTTCCGCTGTTCCAAACGCGGAGTTCTCCATATTGCCGCCACAGTGAGACGACAGAGAAAACGGCATGTTTGTTGAAGTGGTCAGTCAATGTCCGCGCTCTGTGTACCCCACGTTCAGTTTCTCATCGGTCGCGTTGCGGTGTGTGCTGCCCGGGGTGCCAAGCGCATCGGTTTGCACTGGTTCGGGACAATAAACGGCGCCTTTCGGATCGCCCTTCTATTTCGTGGAACGAGGCGTGGGAGGGAAATCCATAGACGAGCGGGCAGACGGGCCTGCGACAGGGGCTCGGTCCCTCGATTCGGGGAACCGAGGGATCACTGTACCGGCCCGAATGTATGGCCGAATCCGTTGATGGCAACCACCCAGTGGGGGCGCTGGCCGAGCACTGGCCCGGGCCGGCGTGGGTTTCGGCAACCGGGGCAACACTCCCCGAGTTTCTTCAAGTCTACTTTTTGTTTCGATATCTTTCATAGAATTTCCCATACTCTTTTTTAAAAAGTTATACTGTATCAATTTGTAGCAAATGTAGCAGTGAACCACACGGCATAAGCAGTGATTGGGATTCGAAGCGTCTCCTGAGAAATAAATTCTCGTTTTCCAGGATTGACCTGGGAGTTCCAAGTATTGCTTTTGCAGTGGAGCCTCCATTATTTTAAAGGTACTGGTTGAAGAAATCTTGGCTAGCAAGCTTCAGGATTAGAAAACAGCTTCTACTTTTGTGAGCAGGTCGAAAAAACAATTTCCACAAATTTTATTTTAGATATTGCAACTGAGGATTCAAAGGCTATTAGGATGGCGTCTATTGGCGGAATTTCATTTTGAGACAGTTTTCATTGCATCAATTGGTACAGTACTTTGCATCGCACGTGAAGTGTAATGGCTTCCCTCAGCGGTAAACAACGTGAGATAGTCGGAGTGCGCGTCTAGTTGGAAACCAATAAAATGATCTTTATAAACACAATCACACTTTCAAAGATTCAGTCACTTTTTGACCAAACTTGCGAGGCCACTGCTCTGAAACTTGGCTGTTGTAAAGGCTTTTCCGCGGTGGGCCTACCTCGGCCTGAGCCCCCTGTGAGTGCGTAGGCAATCGTTGCTTCTTTCCCCCGTCTTTCAGCCTATTTCCAAACCTGCCCTCGTGCTTGACAAAAGCTACAACTTGCTCGATGTTTGGGAGCGTTGTCCAGCAGACTGGTTTCGAGAGTTCCTTCCGTCGCCCGGTCTCTCTCGCCCCAACGACGCTTCTCTTCGTGATGCGAGGGAGACAGGGCGACTCTCGGAATCAGTCTGCAGACAGAATGAGTCGTCGACCTCGCGGGAGGACCGCTTCTCGGAACTCGCGGGCTGCCGCGCCACGCCGGCGAGGGACGGTGGACCCTTTTGGCGGACGGGGGAGACGATCGGGTCTTAGCCGTTCGGGCAACGGAAGGGCTTACATGTGGCTGATCCGCAAAACCAAAATCAATTCTCTGCCCAGAGAAATGTTAAACCGAAAGGGAGAAAAACTTGCTGAGGTTCTTTGGAACATCCAAAGTTGACTTGGATTCAAAGCCACTTTACTTTGCATGAATCCAAGAAAACTGGAAAGTCAAAAGCAACATTTGAGAGGGTGGACTGAATGAATCAGAAAGAAAGGGCGGTGGTCTGCTTCTGCCAGTTGATCGACAAGGTGGTGCCCATCCGGCTGGGGCCGCACGAGGAGCTCATCGGCGCCGACCTGGTGGAGCACCGCGTCAAGCACGAGGGCGTGGGCGTCAACGAGGCGTTGGCCATCCTGGCGGACCACTTCGACTCGGCGTTGCTGTCGCAAATACGGTCAATCGGCACCAACCCAGGCAAGGACCAGCCTTACCAACAAGTATTTTGAGCATATGTCGGCGCGGTTCTGAACCTTTGGGGTCGCGACCCCATCTGATGTCTTGGCAAAGTTCCTGGGGTTGCGTAGGATCGTAGGACTTGTTCGGTCAAAAACATTCCCACCCCAAGAGTGTCAAGCGCCGAGAGCATTTTTTCGGGTCAAGAGCATTACCTGAAGGGTGGGGAAGAAAGAGAACTTAATTTTGTTATTTTGTATAAGATTAATGCACGCTCAAAATGCTTTGTAATGATAAGCTAATTGACTTTGCAAGGCCTAGAATAGTTTGGAGGGTTTTGAGTGTGGGATCACTCATCCACTGATTTGCTTTTCCCTCAACTCCTGCATCGCCACAGGCCACGAGGCGTACCTGGCGACGCACTTCAAGCCCGCCAAGCTGGCGCGGCAGCGTGACAACAAGGACAACAACGTGGCCGTGCTCATGAGGGCGCTGTCCGGGGACGACAAGCAGTACGCGTGGGTGGACTAGGGCGCTACCCCGCGGCCGCGGCGTCGCTACCCTGCCGCCCAGCGTGGAGTATCGCCTGTGGTTGCTCCAGCGCCCAGCAGAGGGCGCTGGCGGCGCGAGCGTCGCGACGGGGAACTCCCAGGCTGGCTGGCTTTTGTCTGGCCGGATGGACCACTGCTTCTGACTCGCTTCCTTTCGGGAGGACTTTGGTCACGACATAGGTCTCCCGTAGGAAATGCAGTGTGCCCGGAGAAATTCGGATTCCTAGTTGACCGCACAACGGAGTTACACTGTAAGCTCGGTCAAGGTGCCATCCAGTGCCTCGCCGCCGCAGCCACCATCAGTGTTTGCCCCGAAAGGCCCTAACGTTTTACGCGCGGCCACGTGTCACTTTCCCTGTTGCACTTTTATTTTTATTATTTTATTATTTTTTTCCGCGAAACTGTATTTGCTCCGGGCGCACCGGATCGGTGCATAGAGCCACCACATACCTCGCTCGTAAAACGGAAGGAGCGGTCGCTTCCGAGGCAGGCCCGCCTCGCCCCGTCGCGGCCGTCCACGGCAGGGCGACGCGCGACACGGCGGCCCGCGCTCCGGACGCGTCCCGCGGTGCCGGCCAGGCCGAGCCAGGCCGCGACCGGGCTGTATCATGCATGAGGCCCAATCGCTGGGGCAGGATTATGTTTTATTTGTCTTATATATTGCCAAGTCCGGGAAGGTGGGGAGGTGCTGGAGCAGCGCTGGGCACAACAGAGCCCCAGCGCCGCGCGCGCGATTTTGCTCGTTTACGAGGACAACGGGGCCACGATTTAAATCCAAGAGTAGCGTACGTAAGTTTTCATGGGTGCAACTACATTTGTGCATATTTCTGAATCAATAATCTCTTTGAACATGACTCTGTTTCCGCTCATGACAGGACTATCCTCCTGTAACCCGTTTTAACTAGCCACATAAGCACGTCATGACGCTGACCTGCATGTATTTCACCTCACTCGAGTGTCACTGCACTGGCGCGACGTTTGACAGGCCGAGCCCGTCGCCAGGCAGTGTAAAGCCGTCGTCTGCTTCGGCTGTTATTTCCGAACCGTGCCTGCCCCTCTGGGCGAGGCCGTGGCGCGCCGTGCCGTGCCGTGCCGTGCCGTGCCGTGCCGCGCCGTGCCGCGCCGTGCAGGGGGTGGCGGTCAGGTGTTGCGACGGGCCTCTAAGCAAAGCGCGGCAAGCAACGGCCACCACCGCGCCCGGGCCCTTAAGTTTTACTGCCCCGCGATCTGCCGCCCTCGCCAGCCCGTCGGGCCGCCAGGCCGCGCCCCGCCCGGGGCCGCGACACTGGCGACACGGCCCCGCCCGGCCCCGCCGCACAGATTGGAATTCTGAGCTGATTTTGTGAGTTTAGGAGCGCGCTTGTTCTATTGCGACCGGGCCCCCGAGGCCCCGGCCAACCTCCGCCACCTGTGTGTGTCTGTGTGTGTGTGTGTGTGCGCGTGCAACGGCCCGCCTCCACCACCGCACGAATAAAAGCAAACAATCCCCTTTACTTGCCGGGCGGCGCTCGCTTCCGTCCCGGACCACAGTGGCTGCGACCGCGGCGCAAATCCATCTCGACACACGGAATACTCTCTCTCTCTCTCTCTGTGTGCGTGTGTGTGTGTGTGTGTGTGTTAGCCGGCAATTGGCACAAACACGTCGCGTTTGTGGGACTGGAGTGAGCCCAAAGCCCCTCTCCCTCCAAAACGGGACCCCTCCTTCCCCCACCCCCTTTCCGTCAGATTTAAAGTGAAAAACAAAATGGTGAGAAATTGGGAAAAGATGGCCCGCTGCGCAGCAGTGTGGGGGGCGTGTTAAAAAGGCCTGCCTTTTCATGCACTTGTCGGCGCGCGCCCACCGCAGGTTGCACATGCATGCAGTGTGTGTGTGTGTGTGTGTGTGTGTGTGCAGTGAATTCATTTCCCATTTTCAAGTGGACGACGACAAGAAGGGTGCATGTCGTACAAGCCAGCGACGTACCAACGACACCACTATCGCCACTAACGCGATTTCGACCGAACACACACACACACACACACACACACACACACACACACACACACACACACACACACTGGCAGGATGGTGAGGCGACGCCACTCCTGCGCAGACCGCTTTGGCACTTTGCACTTTGATTTATGGACAGCCGGACTGCCTTTCCCTTCCCTTTCTGCATCACGGAGGGATGAAATATTATTTCTGTTATTTCCATTCATCTCGAGTAGACTATCCTCCCCGCAAACGGATCGTGTGGCGTCGAAGCGCCTTGCGGAGTGTCTGCTTGGCACGGCGCAGCGCCGCGGAGGCGATGGAGGAGGAAGAGTGGGAGGAGAGAGTGGAAGAGGGGCAGGATGACACGGAGGAGGACGGCGACGGGCGAGGAGTTTCTTAAACCATGGGCCTATTCTTCCCATATCTCCAGATTCCCTGGAAAATTCCCTGCAACGCGCCATTTACGTAATGGGACACAGACACACACACACACACACACACACACCGGGGGCAGAGGGAGCCCCCTCCCCGTGTGCCCGAAAGTGGGGCAGAGCGGGTTGGGCCCCACGCACGTCCACACTATGTATCAATCCGCATTTTTAATATGATCTGTTCGCCACGCAAACAATGGGGCCGTTTCCGTTCCAAACGGCCGATCGCTATCATTCCCCCTCTTTGGCCTCATTCCTCCTTTTTTACTGCCATATTCCTGATGGATGCGATAACGCAGGGCAGCGCAGGGCGGCGCAGGGCTGGTCTGAGAATAACCGCTCGTCACGGCGTGGCGTGGCGAGGCGCGGGGCCCTCCCGGCCTTCCGCGGCCGCGGCAGACCGATTCCAAACGTGGCTTTCATCGCTCTGTCACTCTCGCACTCACGGTTCGTAGGTGCGAGAGAGACAGAAGAACGCTGCTCGGAATCACTCGGCTGGCCGGCCGGCCCCAGGGAGACGGCAGCCAACGGCAGCGCGGCCGGGAAGAATAGATGGGCGCCAAACGCCTCCGTGGCGCCGCCACTGCAAGAAGGCTCATTCCGAGAGTCGTTTCCGCCGCTCTGTCTCTCTCGCACTCACGGAGCGGTCCCTGTAGGTGCGAGAGGGGCAGAGCGACGAAAACGACCCTCGGAATCAGTCTGCAGCAAAGCGCGAAGCGGCACTGCCAAGCAACTCGGCCATAACAGATACGTCAGGCCGAGGAGCGTTATCCGCAGGTGGGACAGCGTTACTCGCAGGTGGAGCGCTTCGAGATCTCGAATCGGCCGATTCGGCGTCGGCGGTGCCGCCCTCGAGAGCGGCGTCCCCTCGCTGCGCCCCGCGGGAAGGAGCAAGCCGTCGGAAAGCAGCGGCGGCGTTTTATACGCAGACCTTGTGGTGGAAATCGCTGCCGAAGATGTACTGAAATTCCAAGAATGAGTCTGCGATATCGGTGAATTGCCGCACGCGTGGAGTCAGTTTTCATGAAGCCATACCGTGCTTTACCTTCGTCGTGCTTTCCTTCATACATATTTTAACTATCCCATTCCAGAAACGTTACGCCACTTTCGATTCGGCAAGAGAAGTATATTTGTGAACTCCGGCCACATTATTCTCAAAGAGGAAAGCTACGGCTCGCTCAGCCAACGCGCAATACATGGCGCTTTCGATATTGCGCCACTTAACGAAACGCAAGGAAATGGCGCCTTTGAGGGCGAACGCCGTGAACGAAAGGCCAGGCACTGCCAACACTTTTAAATGATTCGAGTTGTTTTCGGCAGTGATATATTGACGCTCGCAAAGAATTACCAGCACCAAGGCCAGAAGAAGAAATCGCCTCGAAGCAAAGAGGGCAAAAAGGGAGAGACGGGGAGAGAAAGAGATGTTTGTGCTCCTAACTTCACGATTGGACAAAATGACAAATACGATTCCGATGTAAGGGCAATTATGGAGATATGCTAAAGCTTATGTAATAAAAAGAAAGGGACCCAAAGTGGAAAAATAAGGCACAGGGTGGACGAGGAGCAGGGAGTCGAGTCAAGAGGGGAGGGGGGAATCAATTTCGAGCCGAATCCAACAAACTCATGAAAAGGTGACGTCGGGCGCTCCGCTCGCTAGCTCTTAATTTGCAAAAGTTGATGCCATTCGTTCTGCGAGTTTGACTTAAGAGACAGTGCCTGCTGGGAATAAAAAAAAACAAGGACTCTGTGGGGGTAGGACTGACTGAAAGTCAAATACGGATAGAGAAGGGAAAGGATTTTCACAGCAAGTGGTCCTCGAAGGCGCCTGGCGGGTAGGCAGTCCCGCCGACAGGGAGTCTCAACGGGACGGCCTACTTGCCAGGCGCTCCTGAAACTAGCGAGAACGAGCAACATTTGACCGTAGTACGCTATTTAGTGCTTGCGCAGAATGTCTCATTGAGTCCGAACCGCTCGGGAATTTGTAAGATCTCCTCGCGCTTTTTGTTCGAGTTGACGATTCCCCGCGCACCTTCAAAGAGAATCCCACGGTGTCAGTTAAATGGTCTTCTCGGGACATTCAAAGTGGTCCGTTGATCCTCGGTCGCCATTTTGGGCAGGCAGGGCGACTTTGGTGTGGCTGGTGGAGGCCGCCGCGGACAGCCGAGGATCTGTGCCTCATTCCCAGGCCCCGGCAAATCAGGCATCCGCGACGCGTGCCGCGGGCGGGGCGCGGCTGTCGCTATGCTGATGATGCATTAGTTTGCAATTTTTGCGGGTGTCGGAGCGGAGCGGCGTGGACCCGCGGCCCGGATTCCTTCTGTTTGACAAATTGCGTCGTGGCGACGATCAGTCTGTCAGCCAGCGCACTGCAGCCGCCGCAGTGTTGTTGTTGCGTCTCACGAGGAGGCCAAGGCGAGATAACTTATCATTCTTTTTGTTTCGTGGCTCTCTTTAAGGTGTCGGCAGCATCAAATCGGTGAGCCTTGCGAGACATTGACTTTACAGGACATCACTGTGACATCACTGTGGGAGCGAATGTGACGAAGTGTAACGTTCTTTTGACTGTTACCTTGTTACATTTTGTGTACATGTTAACCAGCCAAAAACTAGCCAAACCACATCCAAGCGGATGTGCCACAACGCTCGAAAGAACGGAAGAATCTGCCACATTCGTTTCAACAAGTCACGTTCCTGGATTCAGAGTTATCTATTTATAAACCGACCGGAAATTAGACAGACATAAAATTTAAACAAGAGCCAATGCTTCCCGCGAGTCGACCAACCCTGACCCGACGAACTCCGACCCCTGCGCCCTACATCAGCACGGCGTGGACACTCAGCGATATGTTAGACCGCCTTACACTCGTTGTCAGAACCCTTCGAATCTCGAGACTTTACAGTGAACTTAACAATATTGTCATTATTTAAAAACACATTTTTGATTAGAAAGTGAATTATGCGTTGATTTTTTGCCACTGTTCAGAAACAAAGCCACGTGTAACATGGCAACACTTTGTGGTTTGTTTTCGCGAGAATACAACGGACCTCATACAGCGAGGCTTGCACAGTGCAATCACGAATCAATGATCTGCTTGCTGGGCGCTACCGACCGCAAGTACGTGCGCCACAAGCATTACTCACAAACACACTGCAAAAAATGAGGTAATTTGGGTCGAAGGAGCCAGGTGGCCTAGATTCCACGCGGCTGTCGGGGGCACCGAGGGCTGCAGGCCCACGCGCCCCCGTCCGCATGCTTACTTACTCAAGGCTGACTGCGGTTCGACCATCCACTCACTGTGCTTCACGATTTGCAAGCGTCCTAAACCTAAAAGTTTTACAATCCTGTCGGAGCGCGGGCGGAGAAATATTGGCGAACATGGCGGGAGAAGGGCATTTCGTACCTCCGGCAAGTTATACAGGCGGGCGCGTCAAAAAGGGAGGAATAACTTTCTTTTAATGCGTGCCTCTCTCTCTCTTCCTCTTCGATGCCGAACCCGGCCAGAATCAAGTGCAGCCTATCGAGAGGGCGGCGAGTGCGGCGCGTGGCGGCGTATCGCCGGACCGGCTTCGGGCCGTTCGAGCCCCGAACGCGGCTAGTCAAAAACGGAAACCAAAACAAGGCGGTCGCGGCCAGGGCGACGTCACACAACAGACGGCTACTCTGAAAAACAAAGCAGAGCGAGTGGGGCGCGTACTACGCAGACCTAACCTGCTCCACTACACTGGCCGCTACGCTGGCCGGGGTCAGGGCGATGCCCCGCGGGGCGCTGCGTGGTGCCGATGCACTGTCAATGCACTGCGTGACGGCACCGTGTGACGACACTCGTCGCGAATCGCTCGGCCGGCAGTCCTGCGGGGGAACGGCCGGCCTCCAGCGTCGTACACCGCACGGTGAAAACGGAACCTGGTTTTCCCAGGAACTCCCTGGAAATCGCATATGTCTCTACAATAGGCTTCCTGGGAAAACCAGGTACCGCTTTTACCGTGCGCGGCCAGTTTCAATGCAGAGAGACCCGGGTGCTCCAATTTTCGAAACGTATAACTTTTTTTCGTCGCGCGGGCGCAGCACAATCTAAATGTCTTTGGGCGAAAGGCTACACCACCTGGTGGAGATTTTCTTCACAATGCAAAAATGACGTTTTTCAACCTTTACAAGACGTTTCTTCAGGATGTGAAAGACTTTGCGACCCTGCAAAGGACAGGACACCCCTTTAAAGTGACACCCCTGTGACTTAAGCACCCGACAAGAACAGACTTTCAACACAAAAAAATTATTCTCGAACATTCCCCGAATTAACGCGTTGCAGAATAAGTGGCAAAGTATTAGGCCGTGTTGTTTTTAAGACAGCAACACAGTGAGTGGGGGTGGACGGCAGCTCGAGTTTTTCTCAGCGAGGAAGGCGGCGCGAAGTCACTGCGGCCGTCAGGGAGTCCAGCATGTCGGGGATTCCATGCGCCAAACGTCACTCGCGAGCCTCGTTAGTGGACCGTGCAAAACGTGCCCGGAGCGCACCGCCCCGCCCCGCCCCGCCGCGCCCCGCCGCCACGACAAGGAAGCTTCAAGTAGCACCGCGCGCGCGGACACTGCATCAGTCTACGACTAGCCGGCCCAGCTTGAACCACGAAGGGACGACAGGCACGGACGGACAGCCTCGACCCGAACGACTTTTTCTTTTCAAAAAGAAGAGGCGAAATGGAGCATCTCACGGTGAGTAACGCAACGTTTACAGTGCATTTAGTTTAGGTCGGGATCAACAAAACAAGGTGAAGGACTGAAAAATAATTTCAATTGTGATTGTTTGTTTTGGAATTTGAATAGATGATAATTATAATTTATTAATTTAATCACCATGAAAAACCATAAAAAAATTTTACTTCAGAATTGAACAAATTTGAGATCAAAGAATCGACAAAGACACACATAAAACAAAATTTTAAGTGTTTGCCTTCCACCACCTAAACAGTGAATTCAGCAAACTTCGATTTGAAAATGCGGCTATGAAATAAGGTCAACACCGCGTGGCGAGTGTGTCCAAGAGGACAAGCCCAGTGTCTCTGGCGCGAGGAGTAGCGTCGGTCTGCCGTGCAGTGCCACGCAGTGCCGTGCCGTGCGCCCCCCATCAACCTCCCGGCCGCTCAGCCCGCTCTGCTTGCAGGCCGCCTGCGTGACGCTGCTGCTGCTGGTGGGCCTCGTGGCGCAGGAGGCGGCGACCAAGGACCCCTGCAGCAAGGACTGGCTGCGCTTTATGGTGGTCAACGCCTGCGGCATGGACAAGCGCCACCTGGAGCGCAGGAAGCCCTCCGTCGCGCCCTCGGTGAGAGAAACATTTATTAAAAGCATAAAACCTTTATGACTACCCCTGGGGCGTGTTGTTCAATAGTGCGGCTCGGTGGGCATAGTGCGTTCTCGCCCGTTCATGTAGCAACACCTCGGATCGGCCCCTGTTCTGGCCTGGGCATTCCCTCGCGTGGTCAAATCAGGATTGGCACACCTGCTCCTGCCATAACCAGGCGCGGATCCAGTGCGGGGGCAAAAGGGCAATTGACCTCCTTCCCCCTCTTTGGCCCCTACAAAGCCTCTGGAAAAAAAGCCACACCTTGCCCACGTAATAAAGGCGAAAAGCGTTCTCAGGTCACCTCTGGATCCGCCACCGGCCTTAACTTGGGAACCTCTCTTCCTGACCACAGCTCAAGGAGATCCTGAAGGAGGTGGACCAGGAGTTCGACAACTACGTGTACGGCCAGAGCCCGTTCGAGGACAATTACGAGGAGAACTACGAGTACGAGCCCGCGGCCTCGGAGAGCACCCCGGAGCGCGTGGACGCCAGAGACAAGGGCGTCGTCGCCAAGCCCAGCAGCGCCAGCAGCGAGGGCAACTTCTTCATGCGGCTCTTCCAGCACCCAGGTAGGCAACACGACTTCCTTCAAGGCAAAAACGGTTTCCCAGGAACTCCCTGGAAATTGCCTATGCCTTCCACTGTGGCAAAAAGGTACGGAAAATTCTGTTAATTTTTTTGCCAGGATTCTCCGTAGCCCTCTTATCAATATTCTCCGTAGGCTCTTACAGTATTCTCCGTAGGGCCGTACAGTATTCTCTGTAAGTCCGCACAGTCTTCTCCGTAGGACCTGGAAGACTGTATAGTCCTACGGAGATCACTGTAAGGTCTCACGGAGAATACTGTGCGGTCCTACGGAAAATACTGTAAGAGCCTACGGAGAATATTGATAAGGGGGCTACGGAGAATTACCACAAGCTGTTTACAGAATTTTCTGTAGCTTTTTGCCACAGTGTCCTATGGGCTTTCTGAGTAAACCAGGATCCGTTTTTGCCGTGTTGATTGGTCAGTCGGTGCATGAACCCTGATTCCGTGATGCTTTGAGTGTGTGTCTGACGACGACTCTCGGACCGCAGACCAGGTGCTGGCCGAGGCGTGGATGGGGCTGGTCGCGTCGGAGCCCAAGAAGATGCCCCGGCGACGCGCCATCCAGAACGCCATCAGCCGCTGCTGCTCCGAGGACTGCGACGAGGGCGACTTCGACGGCGTTTGCGACTGAACCTAGAACACGACTGCCACGCACCTCCGCGCCTCACCGACTCCCGTCCGCAGATATGTTTCAAATACAAATAAAGCACGTTTCCCCCGATGGCCTCTCTGTATTTGAAACATGTGTGCGCGCCGCGGGGAGGCGGAATCGCAGCAGCAGCGCCGGGGTGTGCTGTTTCCTAGAATTTAAGTAACTTATTTATTTTTTTATTGTTTTTATGACCGAGGCCATTTGCTAGAAACAATAAATCGTTGATACTTTTTCGTACGAAAGCTTTTCACTGCACAGTTTGTAAGCGGTTCGGTTCACTGTTAGAACTGGAGCGTACTTTTACGTGGCAGAAAATGGAAAGAAAGTTCAGGGGAGGTTAAAGAATGCACCCCTATGGAGCTGTCACCTTGACATTGAGCCATCCCTCGACCAGTAATTCAAACCAAACATGCAAATGTGACTGTAAAATCGCTCTCAAATGGATGGCGAGATCTCACGCTTAAACCCTTACGAAGTATTTTGAGCATACATTATACAAACTAAGAAGTTATACGAAGAAATAGTTCGTAATTTACGAAGAATTTTCTTTTTGTTAAACAAACTGCTTTTCTTTGTAAGGCGCCTAAAATAGTTTGTAAGGTTATGTCAGTGCGAGATCTCCGGGGCAGGCTCCGAAGTTGTCGTCGGTACTTTTCGTAACCTGTACTTTTTAACCCAAAGTAACCCCTGCTCGAATGAAGCATTTGCTACCATTGCACCGGTACACTCCAAAACCAGGGTGTCTAGAAACTATACGCCTTAGGCGTATGCCACAGAAATGGTGCCTTAAGGCGCCTTGATTCTACACGCCAAAGGCGTATACCCCATTGAGCACCTTTTGCAGATAGAAGTTAGCATGTGAACACCATGGGTCGAAGGAAAGGTGCGTGCATTGTACACACCCTGGATCATAGGCACTGAGCTCAACAGGACTCTAGGTGCGTTGAATGCAAACACCGCCCTTGGCCGAGGCCATGCCTACCGAGGCCTTAAAGGGTGTTTACATTCTACGCACCTTGAATCCTGTTGAGCTCAGTGCCTATGATCCAGGGTGTGTACAATGCACGCACCTTTCCTTCGACCAATGGTGCTCACATGCTAACTTCTATCTGCAAAAGGTGCTCAATGGGGTATACGCCTTTGGCGTGTAGAATCAAGGCGCCTTAAGGCAGTTCCATTTCTGTGGCATACGCCTAAGGCGTATAGTTTCTAGACACCCTGGATTTGGAGTGTAGTGGAAGCAGCGCCCGGCGGGTAGGCATCCCTTCGTGCTCCGCCAACCCGCACACGGAACCGCGCCAATCTCACGCCGCGAGGCTCGCTGTCAAAGCAATGCAAACACCGCGGGGCGCCCGGCGGCGTCGCGGCCGGCAGAGCGATTGCGAGACAAATGTGCGTCCGAACCCTTTCCGCGGGCAGAGCCAGGCAGAGCCGAGGCAGAGCCGAGGCAGAGCCGAGGCAGAGCCGGCGAGGCGGGGAAAGCCGCGGCCCCGCGGGGCAGTGCCTGGCAGCGCCTGGCAGCGCCAAGGCGGCGCAGGGGAAAGCCACGAGGCGCCCCAAGGCGTCGCGGTCGCGGCGCCAACTTCGAACCGGCCGGCCGGCCGGTCCCTGGCCGTCCCCGCGGGACCACACGCTGGACGATATGTTAATAACGATATTGCGCCGAAGCCGGCGAGCCTGTGGGTCCGTGCACGCTGGTTCCGAACACCGCCTCGCCGCTGCTCTCTCTCTCTCTCTCTCTCTCTCTCTCTCTCTCTCTCTCTCTCTCTCTCTCTCTCTCTCTCTCTCTCTCTCTCTCTCTCTCTCACCCCTACGGGACGCCCCTGAAGTGCGAGAGAGACAGATCGGCGGCGGATCGCAGGTGCAGCGCTGCGGCGTCCTGCAGACTGATTCCGGACTATCGTCGCTCTCTCTCTCGCTGTGGCAGTGCGTTCCGTACGGGTGCGAGAGAGACAGGGCGACGGGGCTCCGCGCGGCACCCCGGCCGGCCGGCACCGCGGACGCGAAGGGTTGGCCGGCCTTGGCACATGGTGGCCGCCATCACGCGGATGCAATATCGTCGTGGCACCGGCGCCGCCATCGGGGATTCAGCAAGGCGGCGGGCCGCGGCCGGGCGGCTCGGCGCAGGCTTTGCCGGAATCCTGGCTTTGCCGACCACCGTGGGGACGGCGAGGTGATGGCGCCGAACGGAATACCATCGTCCGGCACGCGGCGCCACATGTGTTCGCGCCGGGCGGACGGACGGACGGACGGACGATACACTCGCGGGGCGGGGCGCCGCGGCGACTGGCCGACACAACACGCGTGTCACGGCCGACTAACCTAACCGGCGCCGCGCCGCACGCTCATTTCGAACGGCGCTCTGTCTCTCTCGCACTCGTGGGGCGTCCCTGCGGGTGCGAGCGAGACAGAGCGGCGACGCACGGCCGGCGGGCGTGGCGATGCCCCCGCATCCATCACGGGCTGTCAGCGGGCGCGCGGCAAGCCACGCCACTGCAAGCCCCACGGCCGTCCAGGGCAGGGCCCGGGCCGCCCCACCGAGGGCCCACCGCGACACGCCGCGCACTGACACCGCCCCTCCGCCCCCCGGACGTGTGTGGCCGCGGCGAGGCGAGCGCGGCGGCATCAAAAAACGGGCGGCTGCGACGCGGGAACGGGGATCTGCGAATCTTGCCGCATCTTGAGAAAAGCAAAACAAAAGATTGACAGTAACGGAACAACCGCTGTCACGCTGTCTCAGCTGACGGTAACTTATACACTGGACTGATTGGAAGTTTGAAAAGACATAAATTGACTCCAGTTCACTTACCAACAATCCAAAAGTAACGTATTCCACTGTTTCCAGAATGTTTTTTGTCGTTGTTCTCGGAATAGCGATGTTGCTAGAGAGCTTGATTGAGCAGCGATTTTGTGTGACTCTGAACCGTTTGCCCGCCAAGCACACACACACCTTGACTTGTCGGTGAGCGCACTCCCCGCCGCCCCCATCACGCCCCGGTCGCTGGACAGACCGTGCGCGCCGCCCCCGCGCCGCCCCCGCCCACCCTGTCCGTCACCTGTGACCCGAATACATACGTCATCCCGGAACCCCATGTGTGTGCGCTGCATGAGGCGTGAGGCTTGTTCACACCTCCACACTGCATTCGCCGCACACGCACACACACACACACACACACGCACACACACACATACACACGCACACACGTGGACCGACATGCAGGCACGCACACCAAACTTTTATTTATTATTTTTTTTCCCCTTTGGCGGCATCTGGTGTGGGAACGGAAGAGTGTTTGGCTATGCGCCACGGCACGGGGATGCAAACTGACCCGCTACTTATGTGTGTGAAAGGAAAGAGCAGGGAGGGAAGAGGGAAACAAGAGTGAGAGAAGAAGAAGAAGAAGAAGAAGAAGAAGAAGAAGAAGAAGAAGAAGAAGAAGAAGAAGAAGAAGACCAGGAGCAGGAAGGGAGCTGGTTCGCCTGGAGGGTAGGCAGCAGCGCTGCACGCGCGTCGAGCGTGCCTTCCCATTGCTCACCTCCCAGGCGCTTCCACAACCCCACAGTCCGTTCCAACGCTCCACTTGTTCGGCTCTCCTTGGACGATACGTTGGCAGCGACTGGCAGACAAACGGATGGACACACACACACACACACACACACACACGCACACACACTCACGCACACACACGAACCCGCCGACACGGCAGCGCGCGCAACTTGCCAACTTATATTGCTTACATTTGCAGGCCAAAAGAAGCGCGAGCGGCCGGCCGGCCTGACGCGTGGCGCCCCAAGCCCGCCGCGCCGAGCCATTCGGAAGCGTCGCCTTCCGTCTCTCTCGCACCGATCGCGACGCGCCACGAGTGCGACAGAGACGGAGCGCGTCGGCGGGGCGCCACGTGCGGTCGAGTCCGCCGAGACGGTGGTGCAGCGAGCACCCCGCCGCGCCCGACGACGACGCCCGGCGGCGGCGGTCAAACACAACAAGACGGCCGAGAAGCCTGACAAATGAAACACTTGATGCCGTGTTTGTCGCCGGCACTATAAAAGCGGATTGCGAGCGTCGCCGCCGGAAAACGCCGCCAGATTGCGCTGGGCACGCCGGCGCGGGCCGGAACCGCGTAGGTGCGCGCGCCGGCCGGCCAGATAGGGCACTGTAAGCGGACGTGCCGCCGCCGTCCCGCGGCCGTGCGGTCGTCACGGCAGTCCCCGCGATAAACGACACCAACAATAAACTTTTCGAGAGGCCGGCGAAATAAAGGGGTTGATGCGAAAGGGGTGAGTGAGTCGAGTCTCCCCGCGGGGCGGGGAGGGGGTGGGGGGAGTCTCTCGTTCCGAGCGTCGTTCTCGTGGCCGTAATTTGATTAATGAGACGCGTCTCCGTTCCACTTTCATTGCCCTCCGGCGTTTCGGACTCTCTCTCTCTCTCTCTCTCTCTCTCTCTCTCTCTCTCTCTCTCTCTCTCTCTCTCTCTCTCTCTCTCTCTCTCTCTCTCTCTCTCTCGGGCCGTACGTGGGACCGACTCTGTGATGCCGTTCCGACAATGCCGGGACAAGTTTGGAACGAGCACCAACAGTCAGAGGCCCAACGCTAGAGTCGGGGGCGAGACCTCCGGGGTAGGACCCACCCGAACCGCAGTACCAACCAAATCCCGGAGTTGACAACCTGCGTTTCGGATCCAGTGACCTTGAGATACTTCCACTGCAGAGTCCGTTCATGGTCTTTCCAGTCCGTCCAAGACGGCGCCCTACCGTCACGAGCCAGCGCCCACTCTCCCTCCCAGGGAATGGACACACGATCGTCGCAAGTTCAATTGAATCGCTATTATTTAATTTGGTCTGCGCCAAGTGCTCCCCCGGGCCCGCTAAACAGCGACAGGCGGGGTGCTGTTTGGGTGGTGGCGTCGCTGTGAGTCGCCGCCATGGAGCGTGTCCAAGCGGCTCGGAGGGGAGGCAGGCAGGCAGGCTGATCTGGCGCGGGGGATGAACGGGGGATGGAGTGCCAACCAAACGGGGTATCTTATGAATTATGTCCCCGGCCAGCAATCTCTTTGCAAACAAACAGGGTAC